CAGTTCTGTCACCTTTTACGACATAACAAAGCCCTCGCGACCAGACATTGCCCCTCCCGTAGCCTTTAAAATACAATTGCCGTCAGATTTCTTTTACCCCTTTCTAACAAATTCTTGTCCTAAAATATTGATCAACCCTCTAATTGTTTTGTCATTCATTGTAATAAATTTTTTACATAATATTTACATAAATTTGTGTTAAATAAGATATCATTTGATATAAAAACACACATTTTGTAATTAAATAATAATTTTAAAGCATTCATTCACTCATACCCTATATTCATATCATTCACTAATATATAAATATATATTTATATTATAAATTATTGATGTATTGTCTTTACTGTTTATAAATTTTTAATATCTTTTTTGTGTATAATATATAAATATTATATTTAATTATTAGAATTATTCATGTAATGCACACAAAGCGACACTATACTTATCTGATTTAATGTATTGTCTTATTTATAAATAATTAATTAAAAGTGTTTTGAGTATTGAATAAAATAGTGGTCATTATCTGAACAAACAAACGAATGATGTCTTTTCACGAGTCAATTGTCAAATACCGTGGAAACCAAATGAACAAATAGTTTTGGTGACCAAAACAAATTTGTTTGCTTAATATGAATAATTAGCTCCTTTTGTATTTCATTTTATGTTTGGTCGGCAGTCAAACAACTAATTGAAATCAAAATGAATTATATTGTAATGATTGCCAAAATCTCTGATAAAAAGAAAGTTTTAATTTTATTTATATTGTGTAATATTGGCTTATCTGAAGGTAATAGAGGTAAGAATTTGCTATATGTTATAACTTATAAATACAGTTTACACAATTANTCCTCTGACTTTACTTTAATTGATTTTACGCCACTAATTGTCTTAACGTTTGCCGATAAGGCTTTGCCTACAAATTAGACAAATATTAGACAATTATTTGGATATAATTCTAAAACGAGTGATACCTTCAATGTTTTCTTCATGAAAGGCGATCTTAAGGATGATTTGTGTGACTAAAGTGTTCTCATTCTTCTTCGACGGCGAGCGTTGTTTTATGAGTTGAATTCTCCCGAAATTGAAAATATATTGATTGCCTTCAAGTGTGGGCTCTATTTGTCTGGAGTCGACGTAAGGGATGTTAATACCGGTCTCTTCTTTGACAAGTCTGGCAGAACAGGGCTCCAGAAGTGCCAGTTTTCTAGCGGTCGGCACTTCGACCACCACTGAAAAGTCAGTGAAAGTATTGGATTCACTGAATTCAGTATTTAATGTGAGTGTTATTAGATTTCCCTGATATCCCATTAATGGATAGTAATTTGCATTTGAGACCAACATTCGTGCCACAGATTTCTCGAGCTTTCTTTCGGTAACTTTTACATCAAAAGTCTGTTTCCAAACCGTATTGTTTCCAATAGTTATTTGCATATTAATGGGCACTTCTTTGCCAACATTTTCTTTATTATTGGTCGCGTAAACAGTGAGCGTAAAGACCAGTTTGTTATTACTGTCAGCCGAGGGTTTGCCTACCTTTTCGCCCGTATTGGTGATGAGCCCCATATCAAGAATTGCTTTTTGATACGAAAGCCTCGATTGGCTTTCAATCCGTTTAGTGAGATAGTGTTGCGGTTGATTTGGCACCGACTGGTAGTTTAAGCCAAACTCATTCACACCGATTTGTCCCATCGCTATAACGTTGTTGGGCTCATACGCGTGCGACGGCCCCCACATCTCCAGTATTATATTGTCTGAACGAAACTCCAATAAGGCTTCGGCGGTAAATGTGAGCGCACTGTCGAGTGCTATCGTCGGAACGCCTTTTACATTAACATCTGCTAATTTTTGGTCTTCAGCCTATTGTATGATCGTTACAATAAGTAAAACAATTTACTTATAAATCATGTGTAAAGCCCTTTTAACTTACCGCTGGTATTGTCTCTGCGGTCACTTGCGAGACACCGACCCATACATAAGACCCCTGATTATACTCAGCGCCGACCGTAACGAAGTGTTTACTGCCAGCAGTCATATTGCTTTTCCTGACCAAAGCTACCGAAAAGAATACCGACATTTTGTTGCCGTCGGCGCCGTTGTTGGCAACTGTGCCGAAGTCCAGTGCAATTCTGTCGTACTTTTATATACAACATTATAAGAAACTAAAACTTGTTTTTTGTTGATTGATCATGATAATACCACATTGTTGTTGATTTGGTTGAGATGCAACTTAGGCTTAGGGGGCGCACCATTGGTCAAGAAGCCAATTCCGGCCACTTTATTGCTGACCGTTATGTTATACAAAGAAAGGGCCGGAGAGTAGTCCTCATTAAGAATATCTTTTGTGTATAACTCGAGCAAAAGGTCGAGACCACTGGTTCGGGGCAAAGACACGTCCAGTCTATACTGTATTGTATTTCCAATTGTCAATCCATTTGTATCTCCCGAAAGAACTCTCAGAGCGAAAGTTGTCTGAAAGTTTGCAATTTGTCTCGAAAGGGGCTCTTTATTAGTGCTCATTAAAGCCTCTTTTGTATCCTTTTCCTCTTTAGCCTCTCTTCTGATTCGATTCAATTGTGTTTGGATTATAACAGTTAAGTGTAATTCAGATGCCCTAACATTTGTCTTATTGTTCGCTGATTTGCCACTAATTATGAGAGAATATCTGTGATCATTGACAATATTTTCCGGTTGTGTAATATATAATTCTCCGGATTTAGGATTAATTGCGAATAATTTGCCAGAATTCACATCTTTAATACTGTATGAAATTTGAGCGCAAATACACTGTTTGTGTGATTGACCACAAGTCAAATCATAATCCAAATCCTGTGCTTTTGCCACAAAAATTGGCTTTTCTTTCGCAATATGATCTCGATTTATATAAATACTCTTTTCGTTGCTTTCAAATTGTGGCAAATGATTGTCCACTGGAATAAAACACCATATTTTCCATTAGCTTTATTCATATTTGTTTCATTAATTGTTGGTATTTATAGAAAATAAAACCCTAACCTTCAATAAAAGGCTTATCTCATCAAAAATTAAATTATTTACACGAATAGAGCTTTACGTCAATTGTCTATTAAATATTAATAGTATATGATTTTGGTTTTATTTAACTTTTTATGCATTATTAATTAGGATTACTGTATAGTATAGCAACCAATTGAAAGCAAACATGTTTTTCTGATATAAATCATTTATTGACCGAAAATTGATTTGTTATATTTGTATATAATTAGAAATAAAGCTAAATGTTTATATTAAACATTTGTATTAAAGTTTATAATTTAAAGAATATTCTGGCACTCAATTATTAAGGTTTTTATCTTTCATAAACATATTTATTTGTTAAATGTTTTAAAATCTCTTATATTGTAAATTATTACACACAATAGCTAACCTTTTTTATCCAAATTATATATGAGTAATAACTTTGAATATAAGTTTGTTTAAATTATGCTTAATTTTAAGAAATTATTAAAAACTAAAATATTCAATCAAAATAATTCTTATTCTATATTCGGTTGCATAATATTAAAAATATAAGTTTTTGTCATTTTTTTAACAATAATAATTTAGTTTTAATGTAGTAAACTAAAGTATTTATATTAATGCAATTAAAATATAATTATTGATTTAATTTTTTTAATATAAACTAAATATCATAATGTATTTAAAATGAAAAACATTACCAAATTGATCGCATTTGATTCCTTCCCAACACGGGTCACATACACACTGTCCGCTCTCAAAACAGTTACCATTAACGCATTCATTGACACATTTTCCTGTATTATTGCAAGTAATTTAATTTTAATCAAACAAAATCTAAATTCAAATGCAAAATATTATACAAGTTAATTAATTGTATAAGTTACAATTACTTAATTGTGTAAACTGTATTTATAAGTTATAACATATAGCAAATTCTTACCTCTATTACCTTCAGATAAGCCAATATTACACAATATAAATAAAATTAAAACTTTCTTTTTATCAGAGATTTTGGCAA